CTCCTCCTTCTCATTCTTCTTCATCTTCTCCTTCTTCACTGAGTCTTTGGCATCCAGAGGAAGAGGTTAATTATTTAAATCTTCTCCCGTTGAGTTAAAGCAATACAAAAAGCATTTAATAGGCAATTTCATAAGTGACATTTTGGAGAACATTGGGGTCATCATATGACTGAGAACATGATTAATTTTTTCTGAAGGTCAGGAAACTAATATTTTTTTCCAGTGGATTTACTAAGGGAACCAACCACCTGGTTTCTAGTTGCTTTTTTTCTTCCACAAGGTTTCTTCCTCACTTTGCCTCTCTATAGATTTATCCCATGGAAATAAGAAATATAATTACCATAGTGCTTATTTTTCCTCATGCTTATCCTGAAGAGCCACTGTGATTTACCTTTTACCCCACTGCAGTGCAGAACTTCACAAGCATTCATATTATAATAGTCATTTTGCCTAAGAATCTCAGCACACTTTTCAATGTCATTTCTAAGAGCCACGTCATACCCCATAAGGGAGGGTGAGGCTTGAAGGATTTCCTGTGTGCCAAAGCAAATTAAGTAATTTGTCTGGCAGGCTCCAACAGAGTGGGGAAGAGGGTTTAGGGTCTCATGAGGCCCAAGGGAAAGAGGAGGACATGCCATGAGGTTCTTTCACAGTTAAAACTAAGATAAAAATCTTGGAGGAAAAACAGTTATTTTATAATGGAGGACAGAAGGCAGGAATGTATTTATGCGGTGATGAAGCTAGAGATAATGAGTCAGTTGTATGCATAAGGGGTTATTTCTCTGTGAAAGAGACCTCCCTCAACTTCATTAGATCCCTGCCCACCTAGTGGGTGGGGAGTAGGAGGTGAGACATTTCTGTCTTCCAGGATATTCGATCTCTAGATACTCTATTACACTCGATCTGTGAATGTGGGCTAGAGGAAAAGACCCATGTTTGCTTTCTTTTAAAATTCTATTTTATAAAATGAGATTTCCTTACATCTGATCTCCTTTGGTCTCAATAAACTCTTGTTACTACTTTTTAGGTATGCATTCTGTCCCACTGGTGTGGATTCCACAGGCCCAGGGCCCCTTGTCACTGTCCCTGTCACTAAGATGTGAGTCCCCAAGTGATGGGAGGTGAATCGTCTCTCACTATGTCACCTGTAAGAATATCTGTCACTGATGCCTCTATTCATATCCCATAAATGCTTCTCCCTCCCATCTTCATTTTGGCAACACTTTCAGGTGTTCAAGAAAGGCCTTGTGGAATGCCTTTATGTTATTATAGCAGATCCAGTTGAAACTGCACATTGGATCATTCCTCTTGTTTATAAGGAAAAAGCTAAGGATTGAAACTTGATGTCTATTGATAGATAATATAATTTTGTTTGGGATTTAGTACATTATTGATCTCCGCTGGCTATGAATTTAGAGTCTTTAATGGACAGTCTTTAGTGGCCTTCACATTCATCAAGAAAGGTTGATTGATAGTCATCTTTGCACCTCCACTGCCACCCCTGCCCCAGGAACTTGCAAAGGGCACTATGCAAGAAATATAATAACCCTGTCTGAAGGCAATATGCACAGCTGGGAAAGATAACTAAAGAGACTATTTCTTTTTGAGAGATCTACATCATCTCAACAGAAGGCCCAGGCAATTTTGCTAGACCCAGACTGAAAACTATTGCTAACAGACATACTTCAGACAGATTTCATAATCACCAGACTTGCGTGGTACAAATGGTTATGGTGAGCTTCTGAGGCACCCAAGAGACCACTAAAAGTGTCAGACTTAAATAGCACTGAGGTTTTGGTTTGTTTTTTTAAGATTTTATTTATTTATTTGACAGAGAGAGACACAGGGAGAGAGGGAGCACAAGCAGGGGGAGTGGGAGAGGGAGAAGCAGGCTTCCCGTGGAGCAGGGAGCCCGAAGTGGGGCTCAATCCCAGGATCCTGGGATCATGACCTGAGCCGAAGGCAGTCGCTTAACCGACTGAGCCACCCAGGTGCCCTGCACTAAAGTTTTGAAGCGAGAATTAAAAAGTATGATTCAGTTTAATATGTAAGGTTACTACCAGAAAATACTCCTTTGGTTTTCCAAAATTGAAAGGTTGTGTGACCAGCTGTGGTTCTCTCAAAAGGTACTCCCCAATCTCATCCTGTGTGAGGGTTTGAGGTTTCTGGAGGGTATTGAATAACATGGTGTACGTGTCATCATGGTTGACATTATCACATGATTGTATTTTTTCCCATATAAGACAGTGAATGTCATGAAAGAAGACATCACTTTTTTAAAAGATTTATTTATTTTAGAGACAGAGAGAGAGTGGGCGAGAGAGAGCGTCGGGGGGAGGGGGAGAGGGAGAGAGAGAGTCTCAAGCAGACTCCATGCTGAGGTGTGGAGTCCAACACAGAGCTCAGTCTCACGACCCTGAGATCATGACTTGAGCAGAAACCAAGGGTTGGTCGCTCAACCCACTGTGCCACCCAGGCATCCCAGAAGACATCACTTTTGAATGTTAGTATTTCTGAAAGTGAGCTTAATTGACAGTGTCCATTTACATTGCTATTCTGAGGCTTTACCCAAAAGATCGGGGTAAAATCTTAGAGAATTAAAACTTCCTTGAGAGCTTTCCTTTTAAGTACTGCTCACTGGAGTCAATTTATCCCATTAGACACTGGGTATTGAGAAAAAGAAACATTTCCTATTGCCTCAGGCACTGTTTCTTCCAGAACAAGGTTAGTCCATTTTAACCCAGTGTACTCCAGAGGTAAATATCTGTAGGTTGTACAGATACCTGTTCCTTTTTCTATCAAGGAGGCCTGAAACCCAGTCACTGTGTTTTAATATTTTGGGTTTTTTTTTTTTTTTAAATGAACAGAGCTACCCATTTTTTCTCCGCTTGCAAGCCCTGCTTTAAATGAGTGAAACTCACTTTTTCCAATACCTGTTCTGAGAAAGTCTACACTGTTATGGTCCTTGGAATGGTTGATTTATGTAGGAGAAGGTGCGAGAAGTATTGGTTTTAAAAAGCAGAATTTGATAGAATCGTGCATCTGGTGCTTCTGATGAATATGCAGCCTAGCAGAATTTACAGATAAATGCATAATTAACATCAATACAATGTATGATAATGATCTGGTAGAAGCACATGAAAAGATGTGCAACATCATTAGTTATTAGGGAAATGCAAATTAAAACCACAGAGCCAGTGTGATACCTCTGTACATCTACTAGAATATCTATAATTAAAAAGAAATTCTACCCGAAACTAATAATACATTATATGTTAACTAAATTGAATTTAAATAAAAAAATTGTTTTAAATGATAAAAAAAAATAAGACTGCCGATACCAAGTATCGGTGAGGATGTGGAGCAACTATTGCTCTCATCTATTGTTGGTGGGAATATAAAATGGACAATTTAGCAGTTTCTTAAAAAGTGAAATATATGCCTACTGTATGATCCAGCCATTGGACTCTTAAGTATTTACCCCCCGAAAATGAAAGCCTATGTTCATACAAAAAATTAGTACATAGATTGCTCATAAAAGCTTTATTTGTTTTTTTTTTTTTTTAAGATTTTATTTATTTGACAGAGAGGGATATAGCGAGAGCAGGAACACAAGCAGGGGGAGTGGGAGAAGGAGAAGCAGGCTTCCTGCTGAGCAGGGAGCCCGATGCAGGCCTTGATCCCAGGACCCTGGGATCATGACCTGAGCCGAAGGCAGACGCTTAACGACCGAGCCACCCAGGCGCCCATAAAAGCTTTATTTGTAATAGCCCCAAACAACCCAAATGTCCAATGAAAGGATCAGCAAATTGTATTTATTTATTGTATATTTCCATACAATGGAATACCACTCAGCGATAAAAAGAATCAACTATTCATACATGGAAGACCATGGGTAAGTCTCAAAATAATTATGTTGATTTACAAAAGTCAGAAAGATGACTCTTAGGAATTAAATTAAAATAGTAACAGTGGGACTATAGAAAGGAGAGGAAGAATTTTAGTGTTACTTCAAAGATAGAATTTGTGAGGTTTGATTAGGGAATGATGACTCCCAGGGGGCATAGACTCTGAGGTCTTTCTCTAGTTGGGGTTTCTCTATATGGTTAGTCACCTACTTAGCAGTAAGGATGGCCCATCCATGTATCAGAAATGATCAGCTAATTGTTTAGTACTTCAAAACTGTAGTAAGGGCTCAATAAGTTGGCCATTTTCCTCCTCCTCCTCTGCTTCTTCTTCTTCCTCCTCATCCTTCTTCTTCTTCCTCCTCTCCCTTTTCCCCTTCTCCTCCTCTTGCTTATTGTTGTTGTTATTATTATTATCATTAGGCATCTGCCATATTGTCAGTAATGATTAGGAAAAACTTTAATCTCCTATTAAAGCCTTTATCAAACAAGGGCACATTAGTATTTACTACTAGAAGTAATTATAGTGTCAACTTTATTCATCTGACTCATTCTCCCCCAAGTTATTTATTTACACATGCTATTTCATTAGACTTTCATTTACATGGTGTGAAAAAAAAGAGCACGGCTTAGTGATGAAACAAAGAAATAGAAATTTAGTGACTTTGCTCTTGCCTGTGCTCTAATTCCTGTTTGGTTTAAGGCAAATAGTTTAAATTTCTTATACCTAAATATCTGCAACTGAATCAGAAATGAAATATAGTAATCACATAGGGCTATTAGAGATGTCTAAGTAAAAAACAATGTCTAAGATAATAAGTTTTAACACTAAGTATAGAACTTTATAAAAAGCCAAGTGGGTTGTGTAAATTAGCATATTTCTATAGATGTGACACTCAGGCACCAAGAAACTTACTGCTACCTTAATGTTCATTCATATACTAGATTTAGAAATAGTTACTTAACTTTCCTATCCAGTGTGCTTCCATTACATGCCATACCATCTAATAGGAAATAGATGCCTCGTTGCATTCATTTCATTGGTAATGACGACTTTTCATTTTAAGTCAGCAGGGTTTTCTTGTCTTGTTTTAGGCTTTGTCGATTTGAGCCTCCATGATCAAGTCCACCTTCTGGAATGTGCCTGGCTAGAGATCCTGATGATTGGACTTGTCTGGCGCTCCATGGAGCACCCAGGGAAGCTCCTATTTGCTCCTAACTTGCTCCTGGACAGGTAAGTGACCTGACTGTAGCTTGGGGGAAGCATATCCTTTATAATCACCAGTTTATTCCTAAAACTCTTTTATTGGTACTCTGTGAAGCACCCAAGAACTTTATGAGATAGATTTACTTTACAAAGGGGTGAATGTGGGAGATATAGTCTAGTGAAGTTCACAGAAAGTTAAGGACAACTTTCTGCTGGATGATGCTAGGCATCATAATAGAGCATCCTCAGAGAAGTTCTGTTATTTCTAATATACACATATATAATTTGTATATCGTATGTACATATACATATAAGATGTATGTTTATATATATACACATATGTATATATGTGTATATATATACACATCTATATAACTATGGACTCTAATTTTCTAACTCTACCTTCATCTTATATTAAAAAAATGAATAACCTTCCTTTAATTAAGGTCTCTTTTGGCCCACATACATCCAAACCACAATAGCCTCTTCATTTCCTTCTCCAATTTTCCTATCAGCTAAAGGAGGAAATTTGACCAGCATTCTGAAGACCACTCCCAGTTCTATCAATTCATAAAAGTTACTTGTTCATTTACAGAAGTGAAGATTTCTGTTTTCAAATGTGCAACCTTATTTAATGTGTTTTATTTGGGTTGACGCTTTACATCCATGATGTCCTTTAAACATCACAGCATGCCTGGGAAGCCCACCATTCACACTTGACCAGAAAGAAGCTAAGTTTCAGAGCCATTCTGCTACTCACAAACAGCATCAAACTAGCCAATGGTGGAGCCAAGTTTGGAATTCAAGATCTATCTGGCTCAACACTCATACTGCCTCTGTCCTGTGCACATGTTCTTCATCCTCTTTCTGGGTCAGTGATGCCTCTCTTGGTTTCCAGGCATACCTAGTATTTGTGGGCCACATAACAATTTGAATGGGAAAAGACCATCTTCTAATTGTTTCTCACAAACTTCCTTTGCCTTTGCTTGGCAGTCTAAGGCTGCCAAGGTGGCTATGATGCATCCTTCCACATTCCTTCACTTTGGAGCTCCCCACTACCTCCCCATCTCCTGTCCCTCTCCAGGCCCCCTAACCTCTGGCAAGCCCTAGTGGAGCAGAGTGACAGCAAAATTTATTTAAGTACTAGAGAACTGTACAGGTATTGCTTACTATTTCGTCATTTTGTGTTAGATAGCTTTTGAAAAACAGTGATGATACAGTTCAAGAAGCAGATTTTGCTGTTCGTGGACTAGATTCCCATATTAGAGTTTGGCAAAATTTTCGAGGATGGCTACGAGTCTTGTTCTTTAGAACTTCGCTCGCACTGTATTCTGTGTCTTTTAGAGGTGTCTCTACTGTTCTCCTTTCCTTCTCTCTCTTCCCCTTGTTTCTCTTGCCATTTTCCCCCTTCCACACCTCTTCTTCTTTGTTTTCCTTTGTTTCTTCCTTCTTCTCTTCTCATCCACCTCTTCCCTCTCCTCCTCCTCCAACTTCTTCTTTCTTAATTTTCTTGTGTTACAGCTGTGTGGTTCTGTGACCAAGTTATAACAAATTTGCAGACCACATACAATCCTTCCCTGCTACAGACTGGAATGTATCTTCAATGCTTAATTTTTTAGGATGTTCATTCATTACTGATCTTCTCCATGATTCCCCATTTCATTCATATCTATCTTTCTGAGTAACACTTTCTGAAAACAGTCATCATGTCATGGCATTTTAAATATAAAAGGGTTTGGGGCACCTGGCTGGCTCAGTCAGTAGAGCGTGCAACTCTTGATCTTGGGGTTATGAATGCGGGTCCCATGTTGGGGGTAGAGTTGACTTAAAAAATAAATGTGAAATGATTTGTGACATTACTCCACCCCAAAGAACTCATTTTGCTAATGAGGTATTGATATTGCCTAGGATTTTGTCCACCACCTGCTTCTCTTCCTTTCCCACATACTTTCATTGTAGGTAATATTCTCTCAAGTCTCTTACTGCAGTGTGAATGAGTGAAATTTCTCATTTCCCTCTGTTCCTACTTTCTTCAGTTCTCGATTGGAAGTTCTCACTTCCTTTAGACCAGGATTTCTCAGTGTCTATGCTACTGACATTTTTAGCAGGTTCATTCTTTCTTGTGGTGACTGTTCCATACATTTTAGGATGTTTAGCAGGACCCTTGAACCCTACGTACTAGAGGCTCATAACACCCCTCCTCCCCAGTGATAACAACCCCAAATGTCTCTGGACATTTCTAAACATGCCCAGTGTGTGGCAGGAGGGGAGGTGCAAAATTGACCCTGGTTGAGAACAACTCTTCTAGACTTTTCTACTTCAGTGCGCTGTAAGCTCTTCAGACTCACCATATCCCTCCCTTGAATATATTATCTGCCTTATCCATTTTGTTCCTTTTCTTTTTTTTTTTACTATTTTTTTTTAAGACTTTATTTATTTATTTGACAGAGAGAGACACAGCGAGAGAGGGAACACAAGCAGGGGGAGTGGGAGAGGGAGAAGCAGGCTTCCTGCTGAGCAGGGAGCCCGATGCGGGGATCGATCCCAGGACCCTGGGATCATGACCTGAGCCCAAGGCAGACGCTTAACGACTGAGCCACCCAGGCGCCCCTTGTTCCTTTTCTTTATTCTCTTTGTTTGTGACATCAACATTCACCTGGACACTGAAGCTATAAAGTTTAAGTTAATCATGGATTTCACACATACCACCCCCCACTAGGTTATCCAGCTATCAAGTCATTTCTGAACCATTTCTTAAATCCATATCTCCCCTTGGTCTCCATCCCTCTGCCCGCATGTGCCCTCTGCACAGGTCCTCACTGTCCCTTCTCCAGATTATTGCCTCTCCACTACCGTCTGTCTCTCTTGGCCACCACCCTTCTTTCTTTCAGTCTGGCCCCCACAGTGTTGCCCCCAATTTCTTTAAGGCACAGTTGTGATCCCAACGCTTCCTGACTCAGCTTCAATTGGCTCTTTCTGTTCCTTAGAAGACACTGTCTAGACTTCTTATCTTGATAATTATGACTCTCTATTATGACTCTCTAAACACAAACATCTGCAGAACCAGTCAAATGCTGTAAATGAGGAAGGCCAGTGGGTGTGAGTCCAAAAGGCAGTGCCGAGGATTAGGTGAAGTTGGTGAGCTCTTGTCCAGGCTAAAAACACCTGGGTACTGAATTCAGCCCGAGGGGCATAAACGTAACTACACATTTCAAGTTTTTCTGAAAGGCTGCCTTTAGGATTCCTTGTCAGCAATATATCCGTTCTTTATGGCTTATTTCAGATGTACTCTTCCATTAAACCCTTCTTTACACTCTCCCCTCTGTAGGTGAAGGGGGCCTTTCCTTGGTCTCAGTTCTTGCGTGTGGTCTGCTCTCAGTCCCCTTCTGCCATGCAGACATTGTGATTGTGTGTCTTCTCTTCCTCACCTGCTCGTAAGCTTCTTGTGGGCAGCAACCAGAGCTTGTTCAACTTTTTCTTACTTCCAATGCACAAAGTCTTCTATGACTCCCAGTAAGTCTTTGTTAATCTTGTTTGTTAATCTCACTGGCTGAGGTCAGCCGGGTGGTTTGTGGCAGTCAGTAGAATCTACATCTGATGGTCATTTCAGCTATCCTTGGCATCCAACTCACTCACTTCTTATTCATTGTTACTCATCAATTCCTGGCTTGGTCCCTTAAAGACTTTGCAGAAATTAAAATCCGTCTGTTTTGAAAAGATTTTTAAAATTACTAAATGTGCTTGGCTTAGGTTTACACTTCTGCTTCTACTCCACAAACCTGTTCTGCAGCTTCTGAATTCCAAACAGGGATAAGCTTCTTCTTATTTTTTCCCATAACTAAAGCCACTATCGAGTAAACTGCTCAAGATCTTAATGCATTTAAGGACACTCAGGCACATTTTACTAATTAGAAAAGTATATAAATAAGTGTAAATTATGTAAATAATATAAAATAAAAAATAAAAAATTTGATTTATAATATAAAATTTTCTACACTTTCCTAATTAACATGCACCCAAATATTAGGAAATTTCAATATTATTAAATTACCCTTTGTATTGGAGGGATGACTCCCTTTGATGACATTGATCTGTGCATACCAGTAAAAATATGTGCTCAGCAGCCCGTTTGAAGTTCCATCTACCTGCAAGATGGTTTTGAGTGATAGCTGAGAATAACTGTTTATGTTTTTACCTTGCAGGCTTCTAGCCCTTTTGATAACATCCAACTCTCTGATTAGCATAAATCACTCTGCCCTCCCTGTTGCTCTTTTCCCATCAGATTGTACACAGTAAACATTTTTTGTAACAAACCATAGAAATCCCTAGTTTCAAAGCTTAACTGACAGCTGGTAAGCACAAAATGAGCATTAGCGTCCTCCTTTTAATTTTAGCTCAGGCTCTGTGACACAACCTTTGAAAAGTCAGCCACCTCCATTGGCTGTTTACCTCTATGATAGAAACAGGGAAAAGAGAGAGCCAAGAGTCCCACGGAGTCCCGTCACCCACAGATTACCAATGCTAACTGGAGACGGGGCTTATCTGCGATTGATGACAATGATGTCCCATTCTCTCAAACCTTGTGCCTTGCAAGACCATCAGGAGGATAAAATTTGTCCCAGTCATGCCTTGTAATTACTCAGATGTTAGAACTGGCACACGGGGTTTAGTGATTACAGGAATATAGAACCTGCTGGGTTGCCATCCCACATTTGTGAATGGAGGACATAGTTCCTATCTTGAGTTTATTTAAAAAGAGTTATTGCCTGATTTACTCCCTGATGACAACCCATGGTATCTTGATTCTGGTAGTTCAGAGCTTTCCTGGTAGTCATATGCTCGAAGGCTAATTTTACCCTTGGTCTGCTTAGCCTACCCACACTTTCCAGTTCTTCCCTGTGTCCTGCAGCAATGAGTTCCAAGCACTTCATGCAGTCATCTCTTCCTGTGAAAACCAAGAAATAAAGGTTATTATAAGGTATAAATAAAGAACCCAGTAATTTCTCATGCTGTGTGTGTGTGTGTGT